ACGGGGGCGGGGGCGTGCGATACGCCACGGCATAGAGCAGCTAGTCGCGACTTCATTCCTCACGGCGGCGCGAATCGATAAACGGCGACCATCACGCAACACACAAACCCATCCTCGCCGACCAACCCGACCTCGACGACCGGTGCACCATTCCCCGATTCGGTACGGGACCCGTACGCCACGGATCGCGTGTCATTAAAGTAGACGAAGCTCTCGTTACACACAAGTTCAATAATGATGCAACAATCACCCCTCTAGAACCAATCATCGGTCTCGTTTCCTTCGGATATGGAGAATCGAATGGATTCCTGCTGGTCTTACAAGGGAACATATCCAACTGTCCGTCTCCGATTTTGGTGAAACTTGGTGGGTACGTTAAGCAGATGAAAATAAGGGATACGTATTTTTTTATAGCTACCCAATCGCAAGTTTAGGAGTTGAAAAAGTAGCAGGCAAATGTATCGTATATATATATCAATGGATTCGAAAAGCAATTTCCGTTCATTTTTGTCGTTGTATAAATTTTTGTATCTCTTAAAATAATGTAACAAAAAATTGTTTGATATAAAGAAATTACATTTTACAAAATCTGTGACCACTTTGTGTTTTACCTCGTGAAACCATGAAACTTTTTCCTAAGAAGATTTCTTATATCTATTGTAGTTTTCGAGATAGGATTTTTCTGCTGAAATTTCAAGGGGTGATTTCAACCCCTAAACTTGCGATTAGGCAGCTATAAAAAAATACGTATCCCTTATTTTCATCTGCTTAACGTACCAAGTTTCATCAAAATCGGAGACGGACAGTTGGATATGTTCCCTTGTTAGAGCCAGTGACGATTTTACTTACGTCATATTGGAATGAAAATAACCCATTTTTTGTATGAAAGTATATAGACTGACGTTGACGAAAACCGTCATTTGGCAGCCAGTAGATCACCATAAATCTTTCCATCACGCGCTCCATAAAAATTATTTGCGCAATCTTGCGGACGCTTTCATACTGTACCATTTTTATCTAACCAATTTTGTTCCATCTATTATAAAATTCGAGTTACTGTGTGATATACATAGTTATATATCTTGTAATGTGTGCGTGTTTCAGTCGTTATTGGCTCTGCAGCCATTTTTTCGAAACAGAATGAGCCAAAAAATTTGAAGATCTCAGTATACAGAACGCGAGAAACGTGACAGATTTACTAAAAGAAAATCCGTTCAAAGCTGGTATCCGGGTATCCAGAAACGAGGTTATTCTAGATCGTATGCAATAACGGTGAATGCGAGCCAATATCATTTGCATTTATAATAGTTGGAACGTACTTAGACTCAATCACTACTTCGGATAATACACAACGCGTACGTTCGTGCCTCAGAAGTAACAATAAATGAAAACGATTGTTCTCTATTAAAGTGAATAAACCAATTAAATACAGGATACACATGTTCGATTTTGTCTTCCTATTCATGATGAATAAACAAATTTTCGTTAACACGTTAAACGCCACGCCAGTCCCTAGGGAACGACGCTAGACTTTCCATTCAGGCCTCGCTGGTCCGTACGGTATTCCATCTACCACTCACGTACAGTCTACAAGCTGTACTTCTGGCCTCTGTTGTGGACGACTAGCAGCCACAACAGAGTGGAAATTACGCTTCCCTGAGGGCAGCCCCTGCCGACTCGAGCCCTTACCTCGGTCTCGTTGAGAACTAGTCGTGATGGTCAATTTCTCGAATCAATTAACGAATTATTGATTCATGTAGAAAATACGAGAAATAAGTTATTTATTTCAAAAGAAGAGTCGTTTAACTAACGAACAATTTTATAAATTATATATGAATTTCTTATTATTAAGTTGTAATACTATATGTATATAAATATCTCAGAGTTTGCTGGAAAAATATAGAATCAGTAAACATATTATTATTAATAATTAAACAATATTCTCACAATAGAAGTTAATGCACATTATTATAATGTGCTATTACTAAAATGCAGTTTTTTAAAGAAAAGTATTTTAATGTAATAATAATCCTGAACAAATTATTTTTTATACGTATACTTGTATACGCATTTATATGTTACATATATAGTTAGCAAGTTTATATTCACTTTCTTTTTTTTATAACTCATGCACAAATTTTTAATCGACCCATAAATTTCTATATTTCTATATATCATATCTATTTCCTCTACCCATTAATACAGGATAATATTTTTAAATTCAATACACTATCTTTGTCCTTATGTTTATAAACAAAATATCAACGCTATTCAAATTATTAAATACATTATATAAATACAAATTAAATACAAACATATAACACTATTAAAGAGGTTAGAAACTTCACAAAAGTGAACAATATTCAATCGAAAATTTTAAACGATATATGTCATTCGAATAATTTATTGTGTAATAAAAGTTGAACTTTGAATTCAATGTTTCTCAATGAAGAACTACAGATTTCATTATTCGAGAAAACGTCGTGGTTGAACAGTTACGTTGGTTTTCAAATATTCAACTTTAAAACAGAATAGAAATGATGAAAGATTGAGTTACATTGTAGCTCTTCACTTACTGACCAGAAGGACATATTTTACGCGTAACATTAATTGGAAATCACTTTGTCGCTGTAAAAATTTTACAAGTTTACTTACCTCAACTGCAATCCTGAAAGGGGCCAATGATGATACGTTCGAAACGTTGATTGACAGCAATTAGACATTTCCAAACGATGAAGCATTTTCCCCTTCGACAATCTCCTTGTTCCAAATGTGCGTCCACTCACCTATCAGAATACAAGTTATTAAAGAATACTACGTCGTTCAAACCCTTTTTCAAATACAATTTACTCATTGGACTGAGACCGCCATTACGTACAAACACAAAATCGTCTAAAGTTTAGCGCGAAAATCCATTGCGCATCTACAGAAGCGCAGCGTCTCAGATGGCGTCGCCTGCGCAGTAGAATCGGCGCACAAAATCGGACAAAAGTTGTATGCGCACAAACCAATCATGAAGACGCGAGATGAGCAAAATTCTCTTCGAATAATAGATAACGAACAAAACCAACGTAGAATCATTTAACTACGACGTTTATTCAATTCAAATAATTAAACAGTTGCTTGTTCATGGCAAAATATTGTATTCTGTAATTTAAAGTCTAATTTGTGTAAGAAACAACAGATAATCTGTTCTTTATCTTTTATTCGATATTTTCGAAGTTTTCATTTAGACGAGAAAAGATCGTAAGAGATTGTGTAATTTATATCCAATGATGAATAATGTCTCGAATATTAATAAAATTTGTTGCAAGAATTTATAGTCACGAATCATTCCTATATTACCTTATATTTTCTAAATCCGAACAATGTAACCTATTTATCCTTCTCATTTTTTTCTTCAAGCGACAGATTAAAGTTAGCAGTACGTTGATAATTAGTATATTGATAATTATCGATCCGACTTTGGAATATTATATGAAACACTACTGTGAAAGTAATTGCAAATGCTCGACTTCAAAACGAGATACAAATGATCAAGAATTGTTTAATTTTTTACTGTTCACCTGATATCTCGATAACTAGGTGGACATATTTTATACGTGACATTCACTGAAAATCACGATGTGTTTGTAAAACTTCCACAAATATACATACCTTGACCGAAATGTATCTTGAATGAGACCAGTGATGATACGTTCGAAACGTTGATTGACAGCAATTAGACATCTCCAGACGATGAAACATTTTCCCCTTCGACAATCTCCTTGTTCCAAAATGTGCGTCCACTCACCTATCAGAATACAAGTTATTAAAGAATACTACATCGTTCAAACCCTTTTTCAAATACAATTGTATGAATTAATTTACTCATTGCACTGAAGCCGCCATTACGTACAAACACAAAATCGTCTAAAGTTTGGCGCGAAAATGCATTGCGCATTTAGAAAGGCGCACCATCCCAGATGGCGTCACCGGTACAATGGAAACGGCGCACAAACCAATCATGGAAACTAGTTAGATGATCAAAATTCTATTCGAATAATAGATAACAAAAAAAACAACATAGAACCCATTTAACCACGACGTTTATTCAATTCAAATAATTAAATCTTTAATTGTTCATTGCAAAATATTGTATTCTGCAATTTAACCTCCAATTTATGTTTAATAAATAACAGATAAACCGTCGTTTATCTTTTATTGGATATTTGGAATTTTCATCTAGATGAAAAAAAATCGCTAATAATAGGACTGAAAGTACTTTCAAATACTCGACTTCAAAACGAAATTGAAATTATCATGAACTGTAATTTGTTTGCTGTTCATCTGATATCTTGTTAACTGGACAAACATATAACACTATTAAAGAGGTTAGAAACTTCACGAAAGTGAGCAATATTCAATCGAAAATTGTAAACGATATATGTCATTCGAATAATTTATTGTGTAATAAAAGTTGAACTTTGAATTCAATGTTTCTCAATGAAGAACTACAGATTTCATTATTCGAGGAATCGTCGTGATTGAACAGTTACGTTGATTTTCAAATATTCAACTTTAAAACAGAATAGAAATGATGAAAAATTGAGTTGCATTGTAGCTCTTGACTTACTGACCAGGAGGACATATTTTATACGTAAGATTAATGAAAAATCACATTGTCCCTGTATAACTTTTACAAATATACATACCCAACCGTAATGTTTCTTGAAAAGGACCAGTGATGATTCGGAACGTTGATTGGCGGTAATTAGACATTCCTAGTCGATGCAGCGTTTTCCCGTTCGACGCTCTTCTTATTCCAAAAATTACATCCGCTCACTTATCGATATACAAATTCGTAAGATATATCGCGTTTAAATACTTTTCCAAACGAAATTTACTTATCCTTCCTAGACCGCCATTTCGTAGCAACGAAAAATCGTCGAAAGTTTGGCGCGAAAATGGAGTGCGCATGTACAGAAAAGCGGCGGACCAGATGGCGCCATAGGCGCAGTGAAAACAGAATCCCAAACCGGTCATGGAGGCTAGTTAACGACTGTGCGCCGCGCTTGCGAATAGTAATTTCATTGAGATATTGTGATATTACGCGACGCCAGAAAATCGACGAAAAGATCGCCAGTTTAAACGAAAATGGGTGCATACTTGTCGGAGCCGATTACGAAGAAAGTGTCGAGCGACGAGGTAGGGAGGAATGTCGCATTCGGCGCGAGTTCCATGCAAGGCTGGCGAATTAGTCAAGAGGTAAGCTAAAACCCTCGAGCGGCCAGTGCACCGTTACCCAGTTTCGTTTCGGTCAGAGAACGGTTTGCCGGTTCACCGTTTCACCAGGATATTACGACATCCATCCTGATCCACTGCAAACGTAATCCACCTATGTTTCGAAGCGCGAAATTCGGTCTATTCGACGGGACGATACGGAAAATACTGTGCCGAATGTAACGGGAAATGTTTCAACGTTTTGCGTGGAAAGAAAACCGTAAACGGCGCCGTTACAAAATTAATAACATTTATCAGAACGTTTCGAAATACGTTTTAACGAGATAACTATCGCGATGTATAAAGATTTTTCTGTTCTGTTAAAACGACACAAACTTCTTACGATATCCTATATACATATCTTATACTTTACGATGTTATTTTTCTATTGCACGGCATAGAAATAGGAAAGCAATACAACTGTCAGAATTGTTTCTCTCGGAGTGAACTATTCGATTAACCGATCTAGATTTTACTTCTAATAGATATTTTTTAAATAATACGATGTAACGAACAAAATGTATCGTTTCAGGAGATTTTAATAGTGAATTTTGATGAAATTGTGTGATATATTATTTATGTACGAAACCATCGATTCGCGTGTGGTAACGAAGTAGATGATAACCTTGTTTATACGATGCATTTGAAAGTTTTCATTTTATTTATAACATTAATGCATTGACTACTGTTCCTGTATACCAATGTTACGATTTTAAACGTATTTCATACATTTATTCATTTCAATCTATTTCACCTCCAAGATGTATTTATAATTTGTAATAATTTTAATGTCACAATTTGGTTAAAGAACAATTTTTGTTAAGTTACTCACGTGTAAATTATCAGCCTCAGTAGGTGCATAAGCAAATATGTATAATCTGAAATGACTCCATACAATGTATCTCCAACTATTACGAAAGCAATATTCTAAAGACACACCTGTTCAGTTTTGATTACACAAAGCATATATAGTGTGGGATATAAAAGTTGTAAAATTCAAGTAAATTTTATTATGATATATATCTGCATTGTAATTAATTTGTTCATAGGATGCACACAATTGTTGCATAGAGTTTGATGAAAATGTTTCCCTATTTGCTGTATACGACGGTCACGGTGGACACGAAGTGGCAACTTATTGTGCACGTAATCTCCCAGACTTTATTAAACAAACTGATGCATACAAAAGAGGAGACATTAGACAAGCTTTGATCGATGCCTTTCTTGGCTTCGATGCCACTCTTGAGAAACCTGACGTAGTTTCTATTCTCAAGGAGCTCGCAGGAACATCCACATCAGATAAAAAGAAAGATGATTTAAACGAATCTGGTGCGTTTATTTCTGTTTACTCAAGATATGCTTCCTAATGAATTATATTTAAATGAATTATACTATTAATTATATCTTTGTAAATATTAGTCCACTTATTCCTTCGTACAAAAGATATATTTAATAAAGTTGTCTTTATACATTGCATTACATATAGATGAAGAAGAAAATGTTAACAATCTATGTATGGAAGCAACAATGCCATTGGAAGAAGTGATGGCAAAATATCAATCGGAATCAAGTCCTCTCGTAAAAAATCTGAAAAATGAAACATGCAATAAACGAGTTTGTTCGGCGAGTCCATTCTTGCGTGGTCGCAGAGGTAGAGAAAAAGCAAGTTCATCATCTGGTGCAGGTTGTTCATCATCTTCTTCATGGAATACAAATGAAACCGACGTGAGCAGTTCCAGCCAACAGTGTGGATCAACATTGTCCAGCACGATGGAAAGAAAGGAATCTGAATGTCCTGGAAGTAATGAAGCTGAACAAGTTCTCGATTCAACAACTAGTAATGGAAATGTACATGCATCTCCACCGGTTGGATCAACAGCAGATGTCGAGCCAACAAAAAGTGTGGATATGCCTGATAGTTCTGAAGACATAGACAAGAAAGTATCAAGTCCTGGCAAAATAACATCTGCAGAATCAAATGCAAATGAAGTAGAAGTAAATGGTGCAGAATCAAAACGAATCGGAGATGCAGACAGTAGTAAGAGTGGGGGTGATAATGTATCAAGTAGTTCATGTATTCCTGTAGAAAATGGGGATGCAGGGCAGCAAGAACGAATAAGCAGTACCGGTAGAAGAAGAATTCAACCTATTACTTTATATCATACCCTTCTAAAAAAAGATGCTGTAGATTCTGAGGAAGATGACGATGATGACGAGAATGATGAAACATTTGATGGAATCCCAGAAAGGTAGACATCATTAATAAAAACATGCTTCTCTCTATGTACAAAGTTATAGTCTCTGATGTACAATTTGTATTATATTTCTGTTACATAGTATCAGTGATGAAGAGGACACAGAAGATGTTGATGAAGATGAAAGTGATGAAGACGAAGATGAAGAAGACGAGGATGGAGATGGAAACATTGATGATGATGATGATGACGATGATAGCGAGGGCCTTATGATGGACACAGAAGAGGTATGTATGATAATGTCATCACTAAATACATACAACATTGATGAAACCAGGGATGGGCAAAATATACTTCAGAATGTATTCAAATGACAAACACCTTACCAGTTTGTATTCTGTTTGTAGTCAAATGCTTAAAGGTACATGCTTGTATACAGTAGTTGTATAAATACAGAATATTTTTATTTTATTTTTTTGTCATCAAATATGGAATACAAAGGCATGATGTAATTGCCTGATCGGTGAATGTTGAATATATTAGTATTTCATATTCAATACCTGTGTGAGTAAAGAATATTTTATTTACTTTGATATTTGATTGTATGATATGAGTGCAATGTTTGCTTTCTAAATTTTATATAAATATATAACTTCATAATAACATGGATTTTTTATAAACTTATAAACTACATATCTTTTACAATTTTTGTATGTAGTTTCTATAAGTTGACCAATATAATTGTTCGTAAATCATTAAAAATGATTACATTGGTAAATTCCTACAAATTTTCTGAAAAATGTATGTTTATTAATTCATGAATTGTTTATATATGTGTATGTATAATAAAAATGTATTATTAAAATATATCAATTATCATAAATCTATTTGTTTGTTGAAGACTGTTTGGAGAACAAACGCCACATTTATACAATATGTTCACAGTCTGAAACAATGATATATTTTTCACTTGTCAGTTGTATATCAATTATAAAACCATTTAAACGTGTCCATCCCTGATAAGAAACAATAAAAATTGTTTAAGTATATATGCTTTATAATTAAGTAATGCGAATCATTAATTTATACAGCCAGGTTATGATAGTGGATGCACGGCAGTAGTTGCAGTAATGAAGGGCAACGAATTATATGTAGCAAATGCTGGAGACTCTCGTTGTGTTTTATGTAGAGGTGGCCAAGCAGTTGAACTTAGTTTAGATCACAAGCCTGAAGATGAACCAGAAATGGAACGCATAGTAAAAGCTGGTGGACAAGTCACAGCTGATGGTAGAGTAAATGGTGGCCTTAATTTATCAAGGGCACTCGGTGACCATGCATATAAACAAAACGTTGATTTACCGGCACAAGAGCAAATGATCTCTGCACTTCCGGATGTGAGGCACATCACAATCGAACCAGACAAAGATGAGTTCATGGTGCTTGCCTGTGATGGCATTTGGAACTTCATGTCGAGTCAAGATGTTATACAATTTATCCGTTCTCGCCTGACAAACAGTTACGACAATCTTTCGAAAATCTGCGAAGAGGTACATATACCAATTGATTATACTTTGTCAAAGTTGGGTGTTATTTGAATAGTTCTGAGTAAACTTTTATCTAATTACTTTTATTTAATTACTAATGAAAATATTATATTTATTACAGCTATTCGATCATTGTCTCGCACCTGACACCCGTGGAGATGGTACTGGATGTGACAATATGACAGCTGTAATAATTCGATTTAAACACGAGGTTGACACCGTAACAAACAGTACTACTGTCGAAGTATGTACTGATAAGAGGGCATTATCGCCATCTGTACCCACAGAAGAGAATGACTGTGTTACACAAGAAAACACGACAACACCTTGCAAACGTCCTAAAACCGAAGCAACTATGTGAGATTCGTGTTAAATGTTATAAACTGATCTCTGGGGACAGATGAGTGAATGTGAATTTATGTAAAATGCTGTAATTCTATTGAACTGTGAATTTTGAACGGATACTCGACGGCGATCAATACAGTTACTTCAAATAACATGTAAAGTAATCTTAGTGCTGGCTATTGGTGGCAGACTGATGAGTTGGAGCACATGAGGATGATATTTTACTGGTTACATCATCGTATTAGAAGTCTACTATGATGTGAATGAATCTTTTTGTTGAATGGAAATGAACATTCATCTTTTAATTTTTACGCGAAAATCGATGACTTAAAATAGTTTCATTGCATTTGTTACACTGTCCAATAAATTAAAACTTTTTTTAGGTTTTGCGATATCCATTAGGAGATTCTTATAGTGTTCCTCGTTCTAAATACGAATCTGGAAGCCAAATTGGTCCATCACCCTCAGTTTTCAAAAAACGCGAGGTTTTGTAAAGTCGATCGATTTTGAGAGAAAATGTAGTACTCTAGCAATAGAACAACTTGACTTTCAGATTCGTATTTAGGACGAGAAACACTATAAAAATCACTCAGTGGATATTGCAGAACAAAGTTCATGTTGGATAGTGTTATTAATGAATAATGCATTATACGGTCTAACATTTTTATAACATCGTGTACAAAATAGGTAAGGTATTCAAACATAATTCTGTATAATTAACAAAGTAATAGATGTTTCTCTTTATAAGTACTTTCTATGGTAATGATAAGGTAGATGGCAAGTATAAATAACATCAGTCTAAAATCATTTACTAAATCAAAGCCTTGTAAGATTTTACGAATAGTGCGTAAGATACAGTAATGATTAGGTCAAAAATACATTTGATTTTAAACTTTCACATTTTTCAAACGACTTTCTTCGTGTCTATAGTTTCGATTTTTACATAAAAAACAACCCGATTATATCAATGACACATCATCCCATTTGCTCCATCAACATTTACGAAATATACTCTTTGAGTTTTTAGATGACATCCATAGTAGATATGTAATTGTACATATTTATAAATTTAGACCATAGGATTTATATTTGTAATTCAACACGATACCATTTCTTACTTTTACGAAATAAAGTTTATTTTTGAATCCCTGGGTATAGTGGTTGAATGGATGGGTGTGCGAGTAGTCTCGATATGTGTAAACTGTATCGTGTATTGAGAACAATTGCGTATTATGCGTTACCAATTTGTGATCTTGTACTAAAAATACTGGTAAAAGGGTATGCGCTGTACTATGGGGTACTATCTAACTTGAAAAATTCTAAATTTCTTTTCAAATTTCATACAACATCAGAAATGTTCTGCAAATTTATAATAACGTATCACGATATTCATTTAAACGATAAAAATACTTTGATAAAATTATTAATCAGATTCAAATCTAAACGCAAACAATTTGAACATTCATAAAATATGTGTTGAAAAGTAGACTAAATTAACATAAGAAATGTGTAAAAAGGGAGGATGGGAAAATATTTAAATTATTTATCTGTTTTTAAGAAGTATGTACTTTATTTCAGTCGAAATCGTTATATCCACACTATGTGCTTACATAGTTTTTCATCTATATGACTAGTTCGATTTCTTTTTTACATGGTGATGATACATAAATAAGAAACATTTTTAATAAGTAAAATATAGAAATACTGCTTCACAAGATATTTGTTATCTCACAAACATGGTTTCATTATACCACTATTTCATCATATAGAATACCGCAACGATTGCGTATTTACAAAATGCAACGTTTCTGTTCACTAAAACAGTATAGCTGTTGGATAAACAATTAATATAAATTATCCGCGGTATCTTCACAACTTGCTTTAGACTTTTTTATTGTTATTCATCTTTTACCAATGCTCACATGTAATTGCGGCTGTTAGTAGACAGTAATTGTATGAAAAACTGTTCTTAATTATAGAAAGAAAATAATCGTAACATTTACGAAAAGGAGAAAATAACACTATTGTCAAGGAGATCAATAGCATATGAATACTAGAAGCAGTACCTAGTATCACTCATTGTCAGAATTAACTGATGTGCCTTTCTGATTCAGGGGTTGAGAACCTTCACAATATGTATGTACATTCGACGCCGTCTTATTAAGAAGGGTTTAAACCCCGATACCGTCTTAACTGCAAACTTCGTCATAAACTTATGTATAAATATCTTGTTTCATAATATATGTCGCTCTAATTATTTTTGTAATTTTACTTGCGCTCCTTAAATCGAAAATTACAATTAATTACAATTCTTTTAACTGATTCAAGTTTTTAATTCACAGTTAATTGTTCAATGGTTTCTAACTGTTCTATTTCAATTTTTTTTAAAGAATCATATTGTATACGAAGTCTCTCAAGCTCCATAGATCTCTCAACAATTTGCGCCTGTAATTAATAAATGTTAAGTTCTTTTAAATTGTATTAATTAAAAGCTAATTTAGTAAATTATTTCTACCTATTTATTTCGTATATATTTTTATATGGAATTAAATAATATATTATATTAAAGATGATGATCGAAAAAAAAACAAAACAACATCGAATGCGTATGTAGATATTTTATACGCTAACAAAAAATATCAGACCACACATTAGATTAATATTTTTTTTTAAATTTATCCTTATTTCGTAATTAATATTATTTTCCTACGGTGTCTAACATCTTTATTTTTTCTTGGGAAAAATTCGGTAATGTGAATAGAGACACAATGACTTTCAAAGAACAGTTACAAGCTAAAAAAGCAATTATGTGATGTGAGTTAAAGCAACTGATAACATAGTCCTTAACCATTAATTTCTATAGATATCTTAATTGTTTACTATATTTATGTTCGGTATGTAGTTTTTTTTTTTATTTGACTCTTTCTGACTGTTCTATTTCTATATTTATATGTATGTAGACGTATTTAGCGTACAACAACCTGAATTTGTTGTTTTTGAGCCTCTCTTTCTTTCGCCATGGAACGAAGTAAATTTCGGGTTCCAATCGTTTTCATTTTCTCCTTTTCCACTTCGTTCGCCAATCGATCAATTATTTGTATAAATTCATCGGAATTCGTTTGAAACTCGGTAATTTCTGAGAAAAAAGATACAATATGCGTACATACGTTAACAAATAAAGTAGTGAATTAAGAACATTTAAACGTTTCTGTAAAATGGAGATTTAAAAAACATTTCGTCAAAAAATTATTCTTCGAGTTCATTACGAAAAAAATATTCCTTTTATATTAAGCAAAAGGAATGTCCAGATGTTTACAGTAGAATTTTACGCTAATACTGAAAGGGCATATATATGAAACAAATAAAAAATATAAAAAGTAATCTTTTTTATTATCTGTGATAAATTTTTCTTAACAATTCATATCAAGATAGAATTCGTCAAAATAAATTACTTTCGAATCCAAACCAATTATACGAATTTTGTAAATATTTATGGTAATAATAAAGATAACAAAATGTCAGACACAAAAAGGATTCAAATTGTAATGTAAGATTCATTTTGCAACTTCATTCAAAGGCGGCACATCTACAGTGAAACCTCAAATTACACGAATTTTGTATATACGCAGTTGTGTCTTCATATGAGCCCTTACACAGTTTGTACACCTATACGTCTATATTTGCATACTGAATAATGTTTCCTTTTCCAAAATCGATCAGTCTTGTTAGGAATATCGCATTAGGTCAAACAATTTAATCAGTCTTAAAAAGGTGTACGACTAAGCAAAAGTTAATCGCCATTGTCTTCATTTTTCTTTCTTTTCGACATTATTCTTAACCTGGAATTTATCTTTCTTTCTCTCTGCATTATATCATATTTATACAATTCGACTTATGCGTAAAGCTTCAGAGCATATTAACCGCGTACGTCGAGGACTTGCTGTAGATGGCAGTAATTACTATCAGCAAACATGTACACGCATTTGTTTTACCGAAAACGAATTGAACTATTATTGAATTCATGAAGAATAAAAAATAACGAGGTAAGCCAAGCGACAAACCTCGTCAAAACACCTTTGTAGCGAACTCACGCGTACCAAAACAGCAAACAAATGCAAATTACGTTGTGTAATTACAATGATTTCCATAAGACTCACTCGAAATGAAATTCCGGCATTCTTCTTTGAGCTTGTTTGTCTGATTCGCCACTTCCGGTTCTAATACACGTATCTTACTTAAATCATCAATGTAAATCCCATACTTTGCCAAAGAGTCGGCCATTTTCTTAAATAAACAAACGATCGGTCTCAACTAGTCGCGCCTGCGCGTATCTCGGGCTAGTCTTCGTTTCTTCATGCTAGTCACTCACCAAAATGGGGGTACGATAGGGTGTATTTTTTTTCATCGAGTCATAAGACATAAAAGATCAGTGAATCGTGCTGTTTAGTAAGATTTGAACGTTCAAGATGAGGCTAATAAACGTTACATAAAATATTTTTCTACCGATTATCGTTTTCTCACGTTGTCGTCCGACAGTCGCAACGCCTTCGTTCTTTCTCTGTTGTTATATTTTGGGTTTGACATTTAACAAAATCAATATTCTTTCTCTTGAACGTTTCTTTATTATTTAATCATTACAATATCTTGTCGTTGTTATTCGTTATGTCTGGAGATCACAAAGCAGAAATTAAATATCCTTCGGAGTATGTCAAGCTCAATATCGGCGGTTCCTTACACTACACAACTTTAGGTACACTGCAAAAGCATGACACTATGCTACGTGCTATGTTTAGTGGTCGCATGGAAATTCTCACAGACTCCGAAGGTGAGACGTTTCGTAAATGTTCAATTTTTAGATATTTAAGTAAATATTTTCTTTTTTGGTTAAGGTATCGGATAATTAAATGGATGTGATCTTGTTTGTACTGGGTCAAAGATAATATGATTCACTTTAATAATGTTTTGACTTAACAATGCAGGCTCCTTCAGGAGAATGAGATGTTGCAAATAATTAAAAATAAGGAACAGGATGAAAACTGCATATTGTTTGAATGTAAATCAAATTACATGTGGCAATGGTAGAAGACAAATCAAATTTGTTGATTTGTACATAACAACATAGTAGTCCATCGTAACATGATGATGATGAACACATGATGAAAGAAGTTAATTAAGTAACAGAGATGACAGAATTGTACAGATAGTGATTTGTACATCATCAACATTTGAAAGTATATGAAAATTGAGCATGATGCTATAGCTGTATGTATTTTTATTTCTAGGTTAGCTTGTAAGACTATTCAATCAATAATAGTATCTAATAATGTATCATTTATCTTCACAAAGCCAAGATGAAAAAACTTACATGTAGTCAAGTGTGTTATCATAGATATAAATAAGTTGTATAAAAATTAAAAGAAAACCATCTGTGTACAAAGATAATTTCTTTTAAAGAGTCACCACATCGTTAGGTCAAAACATTGAGAAAACAAATTATATTCTTGTATTGTTTTGGTACCAACAAAATCATGTCCATTTATTTATTTAATACTATATTGTTCAGTATAATAAACAATTCATTAGCATTTTAAACACCTATAAGAAGTTTTGTAATGTTAGAAAACTCATACTGAAATATGTATAATGAAAAATTACTTTAACATCTATGAACAATGAACACAATTTCTTAAAAAAAATTAATGAATCATAACACCTGTATTTTGGTTGTTATAAGTAATGATAAGTAATATGTAATCAATAGGTGAAAGACTTATATACTTTTGTTATTTAATATGTAAGGAGAAACTTCAAATAGAATCTCTTTTTCTCTCCTTCTTTTAACCACTAACAGAAAATTATAGACAAATGGATTGATTATATTGCTAAATGAAATTAGATAAATAATCCATCTACTAATTACAGAATTATTCTAAAGTCGTAAACAATTTTTATTTGTGTTTTAATATATCTATTGAGATTGTAAAATGTACAAGTAATTAGTATTTTGTAGTTGAGCTTTACCACTTGTATTCACAGGGTGGATATTAATAGACAGGTGTGGTAAACATTTTGGAACAATCTTAAATTTCTTAAGGGACGGCTCGGTTTCATTACCAGAGAGCACAAAAGAAATGGCGGAACTACTCACAGAAGCAAAATTTTATTGCATCAGCGAATTAGCTGATTCTTGTGAGCAAGCACTTCTTCGTAAGGAGAGAGAAGCTGAACCTATTTGCAGGGTTCCACTTATCACTTCTCAAAGAGAAGAGCAATTGTTAATTAGCAGCACTACTAAACCAGTAGTGAAGCTACTCATTAATAGGCACAATAACAAATATTCCTATACAAGGTGATACTACCTGTTTCATAGAAATTGTGATATGCAGTGAAGCAAAAAACAAATAAATATAAAAAGCCTTGTCTTTGCAGTACGTCAGATGACAATCTGTTAAAAAACATAGAATTGTTCGACAAAATGTCTCTTAGATTCAACGGTAGAGTGCTATTTATTAAAGATGTAATCGGCTCCAGTGAAATTTGTTGTTGGACATTCTATGGTCATGGCCGCAAAGTTGCAGAAGTTTGTTGTCACTCTATTGTATATACGACAGACAAGAAACATACAAAGGTAACTCTAAATAATGTATACTATTTCAATGGTTTTATATCTGCTAACTATGGAAGTATTTATTGCATAATATAAAATTATATTAAAGGAGTCTTCTGGCTTAAAATACTAAATAGAGATGCTTTTTCCATAAACTATTTTCTCATAAACACTATTCACAGTAGCGGTTGCAAACTTTTTATTATTTTTTTTTGTACATATTTTAAGAATATATACATTGCTCATATTTTTTTATGGTTTTAACATTTCCCCTATTCCGATTTTTAAGTTTGAATGTTTAAAGTGTTGGACATTTTATGTAGAAAATAGTATGAGGATACAACTAATTTCCGAATAATAACATTTGTCTTCCATAAAATATTTCAGAAAAGAAAAAGGTCCTTGATTTATTTACTTCAGACCTCAATGAGTTGAAATTCAGTAATTAGTTTAAAAACATCATACCATTAAATGAGAATAAGGATATCAATCAATTAATATCTGAAATTTCAAAAAAATGTAAAAAAAAAATAATATTTAATTTTTCAATTTTAAACCAGAAAATCTCCTTAACTTGAATACAAAGGGAAAAAGTAAAACTTTAATTCACAATACATAGGTTGAGTTTCCAGAGGCCAGAATTTATGAAGAGACATTAAATATTTTATTATATGAACACCGAAATGGTCCCGACCAAGAACTAATGCAAGCAACATCCTCGCGTGGTGCGGTCAGTGCACCACCTTGTACATCTGACGAAGAAGAGGGTGAGCGTTCAGGCTTGGCTCGCCTTCGCTCCAACAAACAAAACACCAACTGACCCAACCTTGCCCCCCTTACCTCTCCTCATCCTGCGACTTTTAATGTCGTTCGAGTCCTCGCCCTTAAAACGCGAGCCAATATAAAGTAAGATGTGTGAAAAAGGAGATACATAGAAAATTCCATGCATACGTATGAATCCATAAATATTTTCATACGTATATATGTATCTCTTTCCCTTTCATGTACAACAATGAACGAACAATATCGTCAGGATTGGTTGTACGATGGGCTATCACTAAGTTTCACATCACACTTTTATATTTTCTTGGTATATAGCTATATATCCTAATTATTTTACATGTCTGGGATCATTTACAGATAATTTTGATTTCAAACAGAATGACAAATTCGTCTTGAATTAATTCATACTTATGCAATAAGGTATATAGGGTAATAAAAAATGTAAGAACGTTTTCTTATTTCTTATTTTCATATTGAAAATCTGGAAATAAGTATCTATAAGAAAACAAAGATGCGAGTACTATTTATGTGCCAAATGTTTTGTCAGAAGTAAAAGCAGAAGTAAGTCGAAGTTGCCATTCTGTGGTCGATGGAATTATTTACTATCTGATACTCTATAACAACTTTTAAGCAGTTATTTAGAATAATAAATTGTATAAAACCTTGCACAACATAGGACTGCATTGTTACCTGTTATAAGTATTATTATTGTAGTTATTACTATTATAAAATTATGATTATTATTACTATTATTATTAGTATCGTATTTATCAATATTTTTTATTACTATTGCTAGAATTAATACAAATTTAACATGTTTATATCATTTTTTTTACAAAACAGAATTCTACATATGTCAATAAATTTATAAAATAAAAAATGTGGTTTTTTTTTTGCATTTTTCAATTGGGATATTCTATTAAACTGCTTAAAGGATGCTGTGGAGTAAACACTGCCAGTAAAATAACTACAACAAAGTATATAAAATGATATCAGTCAGATACAATTCAATGTTATTCAAAATTATATAAACATAGGTCCTATATCACGGAAAACATAATAATTTTATAAGCGAATAAGCTTTGTGTTAATTTCTGTACATCATTCCAAAATGTGGTACATTTTTTTTCTCATATCAATGCTTTTTACTTTAGTTACCTACTTCAATGTATGAAAACAAACATGTCGTAATTCAACGTATACTGCAAACCGATATAGCATACTTTTCGTAGTATGGTGCAAAATCTTAAATTTAATGAAGGGACCATATGTATTCCAATTTCATATGTACAGTTATTTCGCTGTAAAGAAACTTTCATGCAAAGATTATTTGTTATTCCTTGATTTACTAAAGTTAAAAAATTAAAAGTCCGCATATATTATTCTCCCGAATACAAGACGATATTTATGCGTATACATTATAGCAATATGGAAAAGCATAAGGTTTGATAACATAAAGAAATTTAAGTTCCTATAATTTTATATAAGGAAAAATTTTAAAATTATAGGTAGTGAGTGTCGTTCATATTTCATATTTATTATAAACTTTTATAATTAATAAAATTGTGTAATATGTAAGTTAAGCTAAATGCAATATATATTATGTTAATGAAAATATTATTGCTGCTTGAATTTTTCAACCTCACGGTAGAGCACAGTTTTAGCGGCCTTCTTGTCAGGTAAAACCGACACGAGCTTTAACATTTGTTGAAATTACATGTTTTCATATGTAAAATAATAGAATTAGTCGTTGTCAAGAGTGAATTAAAAATTGTACTGATTATTTATGTTTTCTTTCAGGAAACTAGTACGTCCCATCAATATACATAGGGTAGCCATGGTCCACTTATTAAATCGACGAAATTTATAATCTAGCTACATTGTGCAAGCCATCAACGTTTTC